CTAATGAATATATACTGAACTAATTAGCATTTTCTTTCATTCTTTCTCTAAGAATTCAAAAACCTCTCCTAGAGTTGTTAAAAAAGATCCTAAACTCTATTAATTTATCTTACTACTTATTTTCTGGTCGATTTTTGTCATAAAATCTAAAATTGATAAAATATTCAATCATGATTCAGCAATGATTCTCATAAGGATTACAATTCTACCAATTTCAAAATATTTCACTGGAAAGTGTTTTAAAGCAAAAAAGTTTTATATATGTTCCCACAAGGAAGAGACTAGCACAAGGCTTATGGGTATACATATTTCTTTTATAAAATATATATATGTATAATTTCTAGGATGATCTAAATAATCAATTGACATTTTCTTCCTAATGTGACCAAGTTTGTAACTTAACAAACATAGGCTATCAAAAGCCAATTTCCAAGAAATTTTATAAATGTAGGTTGTAGTTTAAATAATAAAATCTTTTCACGTGGTTTACTTGTATCAGTAAAATGATAATGAATTTGTTAACTATGTACTTCCATTATAATTTTCTATCATCTTAGCCATATTTATAATTAGTATTAAATCATATCATTTTTGGTAAAAAGTATTATACACAACACTATGAAAAAGTTTAAAAGTAGCATTAACTGTACCTGAATTAAATTCTTATATTTCCATCTCCTGTTATACTTATGTGGAACTAGGGTTTTCATAATAACATACAATTTATGTTGATAGGGCATAATATAAATGGTTCACCTCCAACCAGAATAGCTTCAATAATTATAAACATAATACATCTTAATTTCACCATGCACACACCATGTAATGGATAAATTATACTGCCTCAGGTTTTAAATAGTCCTCAATGATTGAAGGATGCCACTGGAATAAAAATGTGGGCCATAGAAATATAATAAGTAGTCTCATTTTCAAAGTTTTAGTGAACAAGACAGAGGGATGCACATGTGTGTCAGTGGAATGATTTAGCTAAATTACCTGGTAGTCATGTATCCTAGGGGATCAGAGTTAGATCTATTTAAAGGCCTGAATTTATATCTTTATTCTTCAATGAAGCATAAAACTTAGAACTGATTATACTATACACAAAACTCTGAAAGTAACGCCAACAGGCTACATTTCTGAATAAAAAAAGTATTAAAAAAACTGCATTGGGTTAGTATATTAGCCAGTGAAACCTTTAGAAATTTTCAAGTAGTTTTCTTCCTCCAAGATTGGCAAAAATTAGCAATCTTACTTATTGTACACTTCTCTTAAAATAACTGGGTGGTTTTGAGATAGAGCTATTAGTAGTAATTTTATGTAGAGGCAGTAACATTGTTAGATATCTGCAAGCATCTCATCCCTACCACATAACACAGCAATAGTATCAGCAGAAAGCAAGATTCTAATTTCACCAGCTAGAAAACTCAGCAAAACTACTAAGCAAAAGTGCTTCAAGCAGCAGGAGAGAGCAGAACGCTAGTTAAGTGGACAAAGGGAAATGATGGTCATTCATAAAAGATAAAAAGCATATGATGGTCATGGAAACACCAGTGTCATAACCAGACACTGCTTTAACACCAAGAACACATTCGATGGCAGAGGAGGAAAAAATAATGGAATGGGGAAGGTGGGTGGGGTAATTTTCCCTCAAAGACCACAACACTTGCCATTCTCTTGAGGAAAAGAAAATCACCTCTGGCTGATGTCAGTCAGAAAAAGATCTATACATCTTGATAACTCTCTCCCCCAAACATGGAGGCATAGGAACCTCATATTTCCAAAATGAGGTAGGGTGTGTTTGTGTGTGTGTGTGTTTGTGTGTGTGTATGTGTTCATATATGTATATATCCCAAATGTGGGGGAGAAAAAAAGGTGAGTGAAGCACAGAAGACTGGTGATGTTCAAGGTCATTTTCCTTTTGAAAAGAGAAATAGAGAAAAAAATGATTAAATAAAATGGTTTGGGGAACAGGAGTGAAGTGACAACTTCTTTCATGCCTATATGATCACATATGTTCCCAAGGGTGTACTGAGTTTCCTATTGTTCTGCCCCTCTTACCAGTGACCAAAAGAAGACTTTCAAGGAAAGAGGATTTTGCTGGATTTTTTTAAAATCAATACCTAATAATCTTAACCCATTAATGAGCCAGGTCAGCTCTAAGTACAGTGCTTAACAAGGACAGTGGACTCAGATCTCCAAACTAATTTGTACCTCTCTGTCTTTTCAATCTGGGGAAAAGAGAAGGGTAGCAAAAAAACACACACAAAAAAACCCTCCATTTTTTAGGGAATTTCCATGCATGAAACCTTGTGCTAGAAGGTCTGTTTGACTATGACACCTCCTTTAGCTCCAATATGTCCCCCAGAGAATGGCTTTTAAAAATATGAATCACACCACAATCTAGGTTTGCTTCTGACGACTCAACATCCAGCTAATGCGTTTGTGTTGCCATCCCTGAGGATAAGGGCACAAGGACAAGACTTAACCTGAAAAAGACAGAATCCTCAGTGGAAAAAGGCCAGAAGGAAGTGAAATGAGGAGGAAAATAAGGAAAACATTTTCCCCAGTACTTATATTCTTTACGAGCATTCACTCTTTCTTGGGCATCCTCTAAACAGGTATGCTTTATTTGCTAACAAATAATATGAATGTGATCTAGTTTCTGATGCAATTATATTCTGAACAAATTTGGGGGACAAAGGGGTGTCCTTGTCAGATATGTAGCACACATTAATCAGTTTTCTGTCTATGATTTTCTGAGTGATAGAGGAAATACAAATTCACTGAAGGGGGGTGGGGAAGAAGACAAAAGAAAAGAAAAATCCTCATCTAATGCCTCCCAAATTCCCAGTTATTTTTAGCTTTTTTGTAGGCAGTACCCTTTCCTTTCTGAGTCCTCAGAGGGTGGAGTGGGGACCTGCTTTTCTGTTCAATTCTAGTTACCCTTTGTATCCTTTCTGGATTCTCTCCTGAAAAGTGCCTTGTCTCCTCCTAATTTATTGGGGGGGGGGAGGGTGCAGTGTGTGTGGAAGAAGTGGTGATGTGGGGGGTAGTTGTCTTTACAGCAGTATTTCAATTAGAGATAAAAACCCAAAAAAGGAGCACAAATGACCTGATTAAATCCAGGCAAGCAAGAAGGGAGAGAAGAGAGAAACAAATAGAAATCCAGCAAAACCACACAAGTTTCAGGTTTTGAATCCTGAGAAACGCAGTATTTGAATATCCAGGCATTTTTGCAGTCAGCTTTCATTCTATTTTCTTGAATATTCATTTACAAAGGGCGGGGTGGGGCGGAGGTTGTTTGCCGGCTCAGAAAGTCAGGCAGGACCTCAATGCCCCGCACGCATCTCTCTCCACCCCCTTCCTCTCATATCCAGGCGGCCACCTCAGCCATGATGCGCCTGCTGTCTGCCTGGGGGCCCCCCACTGAGCTCTCCTGCCCCGCCCCAAGAAATGTCAAAGCGAACCTGGCAGCTGCAGTGGAGGAGCCCAGCCCCCAAGCCCGCTGCATACATGGCCTTGTAGCACCACCAGCCTGCGAGGGCTGCAGCAGCAGCCAAGCCTAGACTCCAGAGGAGTTGGGGACATCAACGAGGAGGGGCAGAGAAAGCTGCTAGCTAGTGGCCAGCTTGTAGTCTGCAAATGCCATCATACGGATATCTATAGAAACGCAGCGAGCTCTGGAAAAGGAGGCAGCGCCCCTACACTTTCTAAAGGGCTTTAGCGAAGAGAAACCCCCAGAGGAGCCCCAGCCACTGCCTCCAAGAGCAGAGCGCCCTGTGTTGGGGCCCAGCCAAACCCTCCACTGGGTGCATCCAGCAGGCAGCTCCCGAAGGCGGGAGACATACCAGCACTCCTTTAGCTGAATTATTCAAACCATCTTCACTATGGAATAAAACATTGATGAGACTACTTTGGAAGTGCTTCATCTTGTTAATCCTAATGCCCTGGAGAAAAGAGTGAAATTTTCAGTAGAGGACTCAGAGGTGAAGAAAAAAGGAAATAAGAGAAATAAAGTGCCAGGGAAGGGGCTTTGGAAGTTAACTAAATTTTTCTACCTCCACCAGCCCAGGAGAATCTCCATTTTAACATATCAGACCCAATATGTTAATTAGGCAGTCACAAATCCTATCTACTCTTCCTAAGTCAAGGCACTCACTCACTGGCAAGAATTTTCAAATACATATTTTACAGAGACAAACCAATAAATAAATGAATAAATATAAATAAATAAATACAAGCAAAAAAAATCACAGGCACACAAGCCCCTCTCCCGCAGGTAGAAAATAAAGCTGGAGATGGTGTTGGGGTGGTGGTTATGGTTGTAGCCACGCTCTTCTAGCTATAAAAAACGACTTCTTGAGTGGATCTATTTTGCTACACAAAAGCAAACCCTGGCAGTTAAACAACATATTTCAACACACACTCATGACAATGAATTCCCTTTCATGCAAAGCAAGTTCCAAGAAAACTCCATTTCCCATTAAAGTCTCCAGATGCCTCATTTACAACTACTAAAAGGTCTGGCAAGCTCTTCCACAATAAGGGCAGGAAAACAACCTGGTACCAGAGATAGAGAAGGGTCAACACGTTCCTTGGCTGAAATGATGGGTGGAAAACCAAACACCCTCTTGCACTCACAATATAGGGAGGGTTGCATACCAAATGATCTGTGGCAACCATCGCCTGAAGGAAACAGGGATTTTAATCTCTGGCATCTTCAGGCAGGTTCAAGATGCCTTGTTTTCAAAAAGCATCACTTAGGGTGGAGTGTATCCATATTCCCTTAGCTTTTACTGCTAGATGAAATACTCAGGTATAGATTTATATTCCACCTCTTAGAAATTCTATTACAACATCACAGAGCGCCCTTGGATACCCAGACCTTTCTAATGATTTTTCAAACATTAATAAGTAAAGTAGCCTGCAATGCAGATAAGCACTAGAAACAAGATCAGAAGGAAACTGGGTGAGGCGGGTAGTCATTCGCTTGTTACCTGGTGCCTCTAGAGGAAAAAGACGATCGTAGGAGGACTTTCTGCCCGCAGGTACAATCCCGGCAAGGTGGCTCCAGGTGGCTTTCACAGTCCTACGCGGGTCTCTCTCGTCACTTCGCTGCCCTTTGCCATAGCTCAGCACCCGCATCCTAGGGAGTCGGAGAGGCGGCTCCTGCCACTGCTGCCGCTGCCCGCAGGTCGCACTGGGTGGGGGATCCGCGGCGATCGCCCCATGAAACCCACGTTTCTGTGCCCAGGGAGCGGGCAGAGGCAGGACGGCCGCGCACGCACACACAGACACACACTCAAACACACACTCACACACTCAGGCGCGCGCGCGCTCTCGCATTCACACTTGCACACGCACACACACCTAGCACAGTGCGGGGAGGGAGAAGCAAAGGGGACTGGGGCGTCTCACGATTGGCTTCTATGCCCACCGGACCACAGGCAGCAAAGAGGGCGGTCTGGCATAGCCACTTATCACGTTTGCTTCAAGTTCTCCAACCCAAATCCACGTAATTCAAGAGCTGATGACATTTTAGTGAGTAGGAAAGAGCCAGGAAAAGGCTGAGGAAGAGTCGGGGATTTTGTTAGGCAGTTTGAAAAGCAATCCTCGTTACCTTGTTTGGAGAGCAAACCAGCTCCAAGAGCTGAACTTTTGGCTTCAAATGATGTGACCAGAAACGTTAATATCCTTCTGGTCAAAAGAGGAAGGTCGAGATGCACGGGAACAAGACGGCTGCGAGACCCTCTGGTGACCTTGTGATGTACCTGGAAGCAGGTTAACACTGGAGCTTTCCAACCCTCTAGGTAAAGTGATCCACATGCGGTCCACAGTCAAGAAGCCTCTCCGAATCCAGCCAGGAAAATGGGTCTGGGCGTCTTCCAAGCTGTGCAAGAACCCAGGCATCCAGGGGCACTACCGAGTTAACACATTTGCTTCTGGGCAGTTGGAGGAAAGACAGTCAAATGCATCAGATAGGCGCGCGCACACACTCACACACGCGCGCGCGCGCGCACACACACACACACACACACACACACACACAACTAGCTGGAGAGTGGCTTACAAAAAAACAGATGTCGAGATGACTTGAAAAGGTAAAAGAAAATGCAGCATCTTTCCGGAAAATGTAAGGCCCAGCAGAAAGCTTATGAAAATCTTTTCAGATCTTTCATCCTTCCTCTCTCCTGTGAGTGTGTTTCCAGGTTTGGCTGGTCTGCCCTACCCCCGTCCAGTGGTGTCTTTATCTCCAGATATAACCGAACCGTGCAAACGGGATAATATGTGTGGGTTGTGCTCACAGCCCAGAGCTCCACAAAGTCAAGAATCCTAAGGGAGCAGCCAGCAGCGAAGCCATTCACATCCTCGAGGGAAGAAGGGAAAACACGCGCAAACACACGCACACATGCGCGCATGCACACACAGAGTCCTCGGTTCGGGCCGCCCTGCACACTCTCGCTGCCTCCCCGCGCGCGGCTGCACACGGCGCCCCGCCCGTTGCCTGTGGCTCCGGGGCGAGTCCACAGTTCAGGCGTGGAAGTGGCGGTCCAGATCCCGGGCTGCGGCCGCGGCCCCCGCGCGCCGGCTCTGCTGCCCGCTCCCCGCGGCGGCGTGTGCGGGCGAGCGCAGCCGCCGGGCCGGGAGCAACTGCGTCCCGCGCTGCAGCATGGAGGCGGCTGCGGGCGCGCGGCCGTGGGCCCGGCCCTCGCCGCAGTGACGGGAATCACCGCGCCGCCCAGACTGCGAGTCAGGAGAGACCCCCGCCCGGGCGCCGCGCCGCCCTGCGCCCTGGCTCCGCAGAGCCGGGCAGTTTCGAGCTGATGGAGCCGAGGCTAGCGGCGAGGGGCTAGCGGAGCTCCACAAAGCCCCAGGCAGGGGCAGCACAGGGGCGGCGCAGGCAGGGGGAGGGGAGAATACGGAAAATCTGGACGATCTCGGCGAACTTGGAGGGGTGTCCCCAGCCTCTTGCGAAAGGGGAACTTGCAGGCTGCTCACTGCACCCCGGTTGCCGGAGAAAGGAGTGTCACTAGGTCAGGCCGCGACTGCTAATGGCGCTGGGAAAAGTCATTCGTTATCATCTGCCGGGCCGGGAAAATCTGAGATGAAAGACTGCTAGCTCGGGGTTGCTCAGTCACCTGCAGCTGGCTTCCAGGGTCCCAGAATAGTGGGTGGTGATTTGCTTGATAATAATCAGATGGGAGCGGGTAATAATCAGATGATAATCAGATGGGAGCGGAATCTAAGAGCGTTGATATCTGAGAATCAACTCAGCTCGGCGTCAGACTTTAAAGGGTGCCGGTAACCACATGTTAGTGTGTCAAGGGCAGAAAGCAAGCCCACTAGGGTCACTGGGACAGAGCAGGAAAGAGAAGGAGATTGTGCAGGAAGGTAGAGACGACCCGGCCGTGGGAGGGTGCGGGAGGCACCGGGAAGACTTTTCTCCTGATCTTGACTCTTACAACTCCGGGGGTTTCTCTCCTTGACCCACCCCCAGCCCCTCCGGCCGGGAAAAGCTCCCTCCCGGTGGCCCTCTAGTGAACTCAGGATCTTTACTTCTGGAGGCACTTCTCTTCAAAGGTTTCGCTATCCAGTAGTCTGCGACCCCACGGAGCAGCATCCCTCTCAGCTCTGACACCTGCTAGTCCATCATCACCCGTCTGAACCTAGTAGAGTTAGCGAGAGAGGGTGCGGGGGGAAGCTGCAAATCGGGCCTCTTCCTGGCCTACTTGGCAAAGCCACGTGCTAGGGAAGTGGTCTCCTTAGTCAGGACGCTCTAGCAGCCAGCTCCCCGTCCTGCTCCCCCAGCATTACCGCTGCCCTGAGCATGCACACACGCGCTTAAACTCGAGCACCCCCAAGGGCTCACCCAAGCACCTACACGTGCACTCCCGCCCAGCCAGAACCCCCATAGCCGCCCGTTTCGGCCAAGAACCGGAGGGGCGGAGTGATAGAGGTGAAAAGCGCTTGCATTTCCTCTTTGCTCTCTTTCGCTTCCCCTCTACGCCCCCGGGGCTCGGTTCCAATCCCTGGTTTTTTGAAATCCGCGCAACCTTTCCAGTCGCTTTGTTGCAAAGGAGCGCGGCTCCGCGGTGGCAGTTCCTGCCGTGCCTCCTCCCTCCTGACGGGTGTCAGGGCTTTTGCAGGGAGCTCCTCTGGACCCAGACGGCGCTGGAAGACGCGAGTTCCCGAGCTGGAGGGTCAAGCTCACACAGTGACACGGTGCAGGGCACCTCACACCAACCAGCGGGACACCGCAGACAAATACATCAGCAGACAGCACAGCATCCTGGAAAGTCTCCGCTCAAATCATCAGCGCTTTCCCGGTGGCTTTCTGTCCCTCGAAATGAAATAATGAGATTTCCAAGAAGGGCACGGCAGGAACCTCCGGCGGCGGTGGAGCGTCCAGGGACTGCCAGAACCAGGAGAAAAAGTGCTTCCATCCTCCATTCACTTTAAACTTAGCCGCTTCTGGGACTTCACTGGAGGGCGGCGGAGTTGCACCAGCGCGGACCTGCAGAGGCGAGCGAGCACTTCCAAATATTTTAGGATGTGGGAGGTGACAACTTTTCCTCCTGGATTGTCCCATCGCCAGCCTTCCCTGATGAGCTGATAGGAATCGCTGAAGTCCAGGAAATACAAGGTTTGCAGTTCCCTCTAGGGACCAAGTATAGAGAGATGTTGAATGAGAAATCCAAAGACCTTGCATCGCTGAACTAAATAACTTTTTTCTCCCTACTGCCTGGACCAACGTGAGGCGGAGGCACACTTAGCCAACTGTAAGAAGTTAGAGATGGGAACAGAACCATATTCAAATATCTTCTTGGGCGCTTGTAAGAAAAGGGATGTGTATGGTGTTGGTGTTGGTGTTGTTGTTATTGTTGTTGTTGTTGTTCCTGTTTGCTTCAGAGAGAGAAATCAGCGTTTCTTTAATGTGGGTAGTAATAATGTATAACTTCAGTGTTCTTGTGTTTGCAAGCCCTACCAAGCTAGTTTAACCTTCCTATACATATTGCATGATGTTTAAAAGTGCTTTACTCTACTTTCCTCATTTATTTCATCTCTGGAAAGCTATGTCTGGTAAATCCATGTATCACTCACCCTCCAGTCACAATTATTTCTTTTTCTCCCACCTATGGAAGCTGATTAGAGTTTGACAACAGAAGAAGAAAGCTTTGTTTTATATGCTTAAGAGTAGAAGGTGGCAAGCTTTCAAGGAGAGACTAGGATATTCTTACCTGAAGATTTCAAATTAACAGAGAGCAATTTCTATGTTATTTCCTCCACAGGAAAAAAAAAAAAAAAGTCCCTTAAAACAAGAGAGATGGCAATAACAATTTATACTTTGTCTGTATAATTATTGTTGGCATTAACTAACTCTGAAATCAACATACTTTTCAGATTTCACACAAATCCCTTGTAGAATTACTCATTAGAATCTAAAGACAACTAAAACTTATTTCAACAAATAACTTTAAGTTTTATTCTTTTTCTTACTATATCTGCTAGGAACTTCTTAATTTATCCCTAAATCCAATGTTTATGCCAAATCACTTTTAAAGTTATGACAAACTTCTCTCCACCAGATCATGTTAAGGAACTATTCTTATGTTGGACTGTTTTCCCAGAATTTGAAAAAGTTAAGTGTTTTACTAATTTCAGACAAAAGTGGGAATATGAATGTTTTGTGGTTAAAGTGATGAATACTTAATGATAACCTGAGTGTCATATTATTATTTAGCACTTGCATTTCTTCTAAACCAATGAGAAAAGCATAAAATCTGCTTTATGTTAGTTGTTCTTAACAGTTTGCGTGTGCCACAGATTTTCTTATTTCCATGGTATGAAGTGAGTGATAAGTGGTCATTTTCTTAATTTTTTCTGTTAAATGTATACATTAAAAATACTTTAATTTAGAGTTAGCTCCAAATTTTCTGAGCGATGAATCACTATTGTGAGCAGCTTTGCCTTTTTTCTAATAATAGAAATTTCAAGAATTGAAAATGATGTGAAGAAACAGGGAAATACACGTTTCTGAAATGAAGGAGGAGCACTTAAAAAGAATAGCTAAAAATGAATTAAATCCAAACATCAGGATACTTTAATAATCATTATAATAGTTGTGCCCTACATAATTGTGAAATATTAAAAGAGTTCTGCTTTTCATAGAAACATGATTAAAATATTACATCTGACTACAAATTACTAAGGCACAAATTGTGTTGGCAACTAGAGCTAACAAAAACATAATTTAACTGAGGTATAAGCAAAGTTGAAAATTCTGCATATTTCTGTAATAAGTAAACAGATTAACTTCTCATTTATCTACCTTGGACTGCCTGGATGAATTTAAACTCTTACTATTTAACATCCCTATGAGATACAGAAGATATTTGTCCCTTTTTTATTTTTAATATTTTTTCTCAATCTTATGTAGATTATACACTTACTTTCCTTTGTAATATTTTTTTAATGTGTAAGGATCAAGATGACATAGTATATAGTTAAGATATTCTTGAAAGCTGGATCTCTCACTAAGAAGCCAACAAATGACTGGTGGAAGTGGGCACTTCATTTACTAAGAAAAGTGTTTTTGAATTTTAATTCTTTTTCAACACAAATGCAATGATTTTTAAAGATAGTGTCCAAGACAGGAACCTTTTGAGAGAGCTCAAAGAAAAGTCATTACTTCAGAGATAAACATTGTTGGACAGTCAAGGCAACTCTTAGGTAACATTACAAGTGATGAGTAAATTTTATCTTTAATATCTATCCTTTTTTTTTTTCTTGCTGTTTGCTTACATCCTGGTAGCAATGCCCTCTATTTGTCTGGTGCTCCGATTTAGTTAACCCAAAATCTCAAAGTGTAAGCATCCTACCTAGAAATACCTAATACAGAGAAGAATGCTAAAATTGTGATTTATTTTCCTCTTCTCCTCAATACATACATTTAGTAACATTAGATAGTTCTAATTAAGTTCTTAAGAAGAAACCAGTCATAACACCTGAAATTTATATAATGTGATAATGGTATTTCAATAAAAAATAAGAGGAAAACAATGATAATTTGCTAATTCAAGCTAAAGTGTCACTGACTAGCATTTTACCCATTTTAAAAATATGAAAACAACTTATGAAAAGTAAAATTTCTGACAAAGTTGTCATACATTTGTATATATAGGAAGCAAAAGGACATCAGTCATCTTAAACTGCATACATGATTCAAAGTCAAGTGGCACTATATTTTTATATTTCATTTTTTGTTTTTTAGATAAGCTATTAAACCATCAAATGAGTTTTTTAATCTTGGAAGGAATATTTAGGAAGTTTTATATTTATAATCCATTTGCATTTCAGGAATATGTCTACTTGTTCTTAAAACACTATTCTATAAAGAAGCCAGTCAGCACATTATTTCAGAAGACAAAAGTCTGCATTACTGTTAATATGATTTGGTTTGTGACTACTTGTAGGCACACTAATTGATATTACATGGATGTAATGATTTATTAGAAATCTAGGAACTTAGACTTATTCAAAAAGTATAAATGACTGCCATTTGTTAAAAACCTAATGATAAACTATATAACAAAGCTCTTGCTTTCATGGATTATGTTTTCTAATAAGTTTTTCCTCCAAAATCTGCCCCTGATGGTCACATGTCAGCAGTAATGTGTCACACTCACGTGTTGAGACCACAGGATTTGGCCTTCTTACATGCCACCATGATTTTGAACTAAGAATACTATATTCCTATTTATATAAGATGCATGTTCATTAAAATAATGTTGGACAATTTATACCTACATGTAAGCAGCTAATTTCTTCTAGAACAATTATTTCTTAACATAAACTTTAATCTTCATTAGGTAATTTTCTCCGAATCTCTCACTAGTTCTCTTCTCCACTTCATGACCTCTTTAGGATAATGGGTTACTTATCCTTCCTCTATTCATGATTTACATTCACAGTCTTCCTTTCCTTTGACTAAATCCAAACCTTAACTAGCCTGATGTTAAAAGTTTCTTTGGATTAATTTCTCAGCTATTAGTGGCAATGATTTCTGTCGTGAAAGCAAATCCCTTCTGTGATTATTTACCAACAAGCTTTCTTCCCTCTTTCTATTTGTTCATTTCATGGAAATTCACTGAATGTGTTGTCAAACCAGGGCCTTGGAGAACTGGGAAACAAAAGGTTAAGACAGTTCCAGGGTTTCAAGATACCTAGATGCAAAGAGGTAACCTGACTAATTGGTATCTCTCAGTAGGATGGTTAGGCAATTTGGTTGATTTACTAAAGTGCTACTATTTGAAAACTGGCCCCTGAAACCAGCTAAAGTCTTGATCTGATTTATTCAAGGACAGTGCCTGACTAAGCTGTTTCCATTTGATTTAATCAAAGGCAATAATATATAACTAAAAACTATCTTGTTTGGATAACTAGGTTCTAACCCCCCCTCTCAGTATGAAGAGTTTACTGGGCCATAAAAAATCCAGAGCATGCACAGTTTATTCCCAACTTAATTAGTGTACAAAATTTCCACCATGGAGAGTAATCAAGTCACCATTTTCTGAACATGTAACATATGTGCAAGCGTGAACTACCTCTAACAGGTACAGATGACCAGCCCCAACACTTCACCTCCTCACCAAAGACTCCTTTGCTCACTTTTGCCCTCCCATCTTTTGAAAATCATTTCAGGTCTTTATTCAAGGAGACAGTGGGAATTTAGCCCTTTCTGCCTCCATTATCTACAGGTAATAAACCATTCCTCCTCACACAAAAGTTCTGTCTGTTCTACTTAGGGCATTTCCAAGTGAAGAACCTTTTGAGTTTGGTGCAAAGGCCTTATGGCAATATTGTGCACTAGGCACTGGAAAAAAAGTAAAATGAAGGCTAGCCCTCCCTAAGAACTTCTGACAGGCCTTTCCAATCACTTTATTATGTGGATTATTTCAAGTTAAGGTGATTTGAGGCCTTGAAGGCTCATAAGAAATTTTTTACCACTCCCCTAACTACCTAGAAGAATGAAATTGGGGATATTAGGGTTTCTATTAAAGAAACCTATCTAGTGCCAAGGCAAACATTTAATTATAGATTCCATCAATTAATTATCATCTAATTAATTCATCAATATGAATAACCCTTTCCTTATCATGTAAGTCCCTTCCTCTCTTTTTTTTTATTTTTTACATCATTGTTCATTTTTAAACAATATTTGCTTCCCTCCACTCCCAGGTGTAGTCCCCATAGAATTTCCTTTCCCAATGCACCCATGCACTATCACCTCAGTTCCCTGTGCTCCTCCCTCCCTCCCTCTCATCCCTCTCCCTCCTACTGCCCTGCAGTATGTCTCTCATTTATAATTGTCTGTTTTGCTTTGCTGTGTTTTTTACTGTTATTTTTTTTATACTGATGTATTATTTGGTTTCCCTATATTCCTACTATAAGTGAAACCATCCACTATTTTTCTTTTTCCTTCTGGCTTATTTCACTGAGCATAATTCCTTGTAGCTCCATCCACACTGCTGCAAATGGCATGAGGAGGTTCCTCAGTCTACTGAAAATGGAGCTACCATATAACACGGTAATTCCACTCCTAGGGATCTACCCAAAGGACACAAAAACATTGATTCAAAAGAACACTTGTACCCCTATGTTTATTGTGGCACTGTTTACAATAGGTAAAACCTGGAAACAATGCAAATGCCCAAAAATAGATGACTGGATCAAGAAGATGTGGTACATGTACACCATGGAATATTATTCAGCAATCAAAAAAGTCCCTTCCTCTCTTAATGAAGCCCTAAGTCACTATCCCATTCCTTAGCCCAGGAGATAGATACAGATATTTCCCCAGCAGTTTTGGCTTTCACATCTATTTAGGTTTCCCATGCATATATTATTTTTTTTCATGCTAATCTGTCTGCTTCATTGAATCACCAGCCCATGAACAGCCTGTAAGTGGAAGGAATTTCCTTTCCATCGCTATAGTAACCATAAGTCTCTTGGTCACTGACCCCATAATACAGTTTACCATCTAGTGGAGATTACAGACCAACAAACAAGTGATTACAAGTGATCTTGTTCTTATTTTGCCAACTATGATTTGTAATTAATCCCCAAATTGTCTTTTGTTAGACCTTTGCGGCCCACCTCCCATAAACTCAAATAATGGTATCTCTGTTGCTCTTAGTTTCTAGTTTTCCCATATTCATTTATGCTGTATTGAGAGGTAACCTGTGAAATAGGCAGACAAATTCCTTTGTCAAAACACAAGGTACAACACACCATATTCCAATAAGTTTTAGAATATAATACGCTACGTGGGTTTTAATCTAGATTCTGATTACTGCTTTACTTGTGGAAATCATTTAACTCTAGATTGAATCTTTAACATGTTTTTATATAAAATGGTAATATAACACTTAGATTTGGGTTTGGTTGAGAGGTTTTCATGACTCTGCCAATGTAAACTATCCAGTACAAGTAGGTACTCCATATATATCATTTATGTTCCCTTACATTAGTCTACTTCAACGTATGTCATGAGTAACTATTTCACTAAAAATATGATAATTCTGTTTGTCAAAGCACATTTTAACCAAGATTTTTTTTCCAAAAAGGGAGATTAAAAATACACAGGAAGATGCCTAAAACACTTCACTAATGTTTTCATTTTCCTTCATGATAATTATTCTTTAACTTTGGTGGTATATCATTTAGCACAATCTTGAATAATGAAGCTGGTATGTCCACACACTAATTATCCTCAAAATGTATTTTATAAGTTTAGTACTAGTTCCTTTAAGAGAGCTACCCTTACTGTAATGTATTCAGAGCAGCTTTCTTTAATTTTACAGTTTAATCTTGGCTCTCAGACTAGTGTGTGTGTATATGTGTATGGTGTATATACACACAATGGAATATACTCAACTACAAAACAAAATGAAATCTTGCCATCTGTGACAACATGGGACTGGAAGGGATTGTGCTAAGTGAAATAAATCAGAAAGAAAAGAACAAATATCAAATTATTTAACTCCTATGAGAAATAAAGAAACAGATAAAACTAACCATAAAAATCTCCATATTTAATTGTAGAATTGAAGCAACAAGAGGAGGAGGGTGACGCATAAGGAGCAAAGGGCAGGGGGCCCAGTGGACTGTTGTCAAACATTAGGTATTTTGTGGTATGTATGATTACATGCACCTGAAGAGGTGTTTACCTTTATTTCAAGGTATAATTTTAAGGATACATCTAAATATGCTTATGCAGTGTTGTAAACCAGTGTTACCATAATAAAAAAAAGGTATAATTTAAAAAATTAAATAAAGAGATGGAGATAAATAGAAAATTTTAAGGAAAGATGAGTAGAATTAAGTAAAATATGCACATATCCCCAGTTGCCGTGGACCAGCACAGCAGTAGACAATGAGGCCATCTCAGGGTTGAGAGAAGCGTGCAGGGTGGTCAGGGAGTAGGCGAAAGAAATGACAAACAGACACACTTCAAGAGAGAGTGTAAATCTGAGTGTAATTTTCTTTGAGTTGGTGACCAGTATATATATGTTTTCTAAAAGCATAGGAGCAGTGAATATCAATGAAATCAGCTTGCTCATGGGTTTAGCTTATCACTGACAGGGCAGTGATTTACATCTGGACCTAGCCTAATTCCTAAGTAGATAGACCATTAGTTTTGTTTTTAAACTATATAATCGCATTTTTTACTAACTACTTTTTTACCTAAACTATATTTTAATTATTACAGGGTTTAGTAATGTTTCATTTGAGTCAGCGTTGTGTTAAGGATTTCATATGATTTTTTGATTAACAAGCAATGACCTTTATAGAAGAAAGAAGGAAGTTTAGAAAGACAATAAGGGAATAAAGTTTGTACTTCTAGAAAGACTGTTTTTAGCATTCTTGTAGTGGTTCCTGGTGGTCATTATCTTTTGATAAGCATCTGTCTTATCTATGTTTTCAGGGAACTTTGCTGTACTCCCCTGAGCTCTGGTTCCTTGCCCAGCAGGACCTAGGGACCTTGGCGAAAGCCATTAGCCCTAAAGGTCACTGCAGGGGGAGGTGCAGCACCCAGTCACATATAATGGATCTTTATGTCTTATTTTTCAATTTGGTGAAATGTAGTTTTAGATCTTAGCAGTCTTAAATGCTTATAATGAAATAAAGATTTTATTAATTTTGAAAGATGGACACTTTCTTGAGGCAGTGAACTAGAATAAAGCAGCTTCTTTTTCCAGTGACCTGGTCTTGGAAATCTTGATTGCATTCAGTAGTATGGCACTTACTCATTCATTTAGAAAATTGCCAGTGAGCTATGAGATGGATTCCTAGACCTTCTGTACTCATTTGTGCCTATTGTAGTCTGTCTTTACTTTATGCAACTTGCTCCTCTCTCTTGCTTTTGTTATTTCATCACTTTTGATTTATCTATGGCAAAAGAATACCATATTATAGGGGAACTGAATCCCTGTTTTCCAACACCAAACCACATAGGAAGGATTTTGCATGGGATTGTAGCATTACATTAGAAAAGCACTTCTTTCAATAGATATGAAAGAGGCTTCTGAAAAATTTTGCAGAAAATGCCCCAATTGGCACTCAAACTGATACTTCAAATGTTAAAGGAGAAAGCCAACATATATACAGTAGCCATATCTAGACAATTTTATATAAATATGAAAACATTCTATTGTGTAAGAATATACAAAATAATTTTATACAAAACAAATGTCCAGTTCATGGGCACCTACTTTACTTTCCTTGAAAACATTTTTCTGTTTTTATGGAATGGATGAACACATGGTTACTTTATTTTGTGTGCTTTGTTTTGACTTTAGGTATAAAGCCTCTCCAACTGGGATTCATTTGCTATTTTTTTTGCCTCAGTACAATGTATCTGTGCCATGGTATTCACCAAGAAGCAAATGCTCAAACTCAAAGGCAACAGTAATGAGTAGCCCAAGAGAGTACACCTGGATTTGAACAATTTTAGAAGAGAAAGTGACTGAGCATCATGCACAAAATAGTCAGCAAATTCTTTGTAGATCACATGTACACACAGTGATAACTACCTTAAATGGTGTGAATGCAGACCTAGTAATTTTTGTGTTTTCAAAACTTAATACTTATTTTCAAATTTAACATTTATTCCTTGGATCTCATAAGTGTTGCAGGAAAACTGTTGGAGTAGCCTGGGATGGCTGAGCTCTGCTTTCCTGTGGGCCTCCCCAGCTGGGCACAAACCATGACTGCCCAGGATGTGGGGTTCACTCTGCCCCTGATGTCCATATACCACCCAGGCTAGTGCTGAGAACTGCTGAGTCAGGGGGCTGGTGAGGGGAGCTGAGTGGTCATTTTGGGAGCTTTCAAAAGAGGGAGCAATGCAATTAGTCTTGATCTTGGTCACTGAAGCTTCTGTGCCCCTGTCAGTGGGGTGGATGGCTGGCAGGACTTGACTCCTGGTGGGGGTTTAGGGGAGGCTGACCCCAGCAGCATCAGGCCTCTACCACACCCTGCTGCAGCAGGGGTCTGGCACCCTGCTGAATCCTGTGGCTATAGCTCTACTGAGCACTATAGCTTGGTAACTAGATCTTCTCTCTCTCCTACTGGTTGATTAGGATATAGTAGGAGAGAGGGTTGTTGTTCTTTTTTTTTCTTTGCTGCACCAAAGGACTTACATTTGCATTTACGCAGTGAGTGGTAGGTAAGATAGGTTCTGACCTGGTGACAGTTTTTAGACCCTTTGCCAATAGCAAGATAATGTGCCTATACATAAAACCGTGTGCCCGTATTTTAAAAAGCATTTTTGTGTGGTTTCCAGAAGCTTCATTTCTCCTGTGCTATGCTAATTTTAAATAGAGCAGTATACATAAAATGTATGTAGAACACACAGAAGTGTGGTCAAAGAGAAAAAGGGTGGGGCAAGGTTTTATCAGCAAAAGAAAAGGTTATTTCAGGTAAAGTTGCCTTCTCTCAGCACAGGGCTCTTATCAGGGAGATTGCTTGGTATAGGATTATATTTTGGGAGAGAGGTAGAAACTGCAATAGATAATGAATCTAAGTGGAACCTGGATTGAAGGACTCCATTTGGGAGCTGGGCTTTTTTTTTTTTTTTTTTTCTATTTTTAACAATAGTAAATGCTCAAGACATGAAGCGGTTTTCATAGTCTGCTTAAGGAGTTTGATTTCATAGTCTGCTTAAGTAGTCAGAGTGCAGCCATTAAATGATTTATGCAAAAGAATAATAAATATACAATTCTATTTTAGCAGGACTGGTGGTGAAGCAGTGTGGAAGACTGGAAGATTAAAGGATGGCTGATGGTCCATGAGAAAGAAACCATTCAAAAGTAAAGTTACAGTAGTTTAGATGAGAAACAGGAGGCTATGGCTATGGGGACTAATTTCATCACTATAAAGAAATAGAACAGATTGTCTTCCAGGTATCTCTATCAGAATTTAAGGATCTACACAAGAATATTTCCAGTAATTCAAAAAACCAAACTACAACAGAATTTTAGAATTAAGAGAAAACAAGGCAGCTATCTGTCTTTTTCACTAAGGCAACAGTTTCTATTTTGTAAGATAAATATGTAAATATTGAGTCAAATTAATTTGCAGAGAAAGCCCTGTATATTGTTTATTAATTGATCAAAATATAAAAATATTTTCAAGAGTTTATGAATAAAATATCACTTTATGCATGTAAGCAGATAAATAAAAATTCAATTTTCCCAGCATATGTTAAAAAGCATAGGATGTCCACAATATTTATTCATCTATACAAGATGAATTTTAAATATGTTAGTCACTGAAATATTTTCAGTGTTCTTTAAGGATTTTTATGTTCTCAGAAGATTATGTAGAAATAATAGTAATAGAAAATCTGAAATATATGTGCTGATTTTAGGAGTGTAACTAAATATGTAAATAGGTAATCCAAGTTTATTTGTTGGATACCTTTGGAAAAATTGTATCGGTAATAAAGTTTTCTCCACACGAGTTAGGAAAGAAAGCAATAACAATAAAATACAGACATTGTTAATAATATTTATCAAAAATAGAATTCCAGCTTTATTCTTTAGTCTGTAAGATGGGGGAGCTATTGCATTGTAAAATCCACTGGCCAGTTCTATTTTAAGCATTTTCCTTTGATTAAATCATTTGTAGTAAATGATGACCCAAGCTAAGGTAAAGTGACACTTTAATGGGGGTTATGGCCTAATGACAGGGTGTCTTTAAGGGGGTTTCAATTACTAGAACTATAAAATATTAGTTTGCTATTAATATATTTAAAGTGAGATATTAATTCTCTCTACAACATCAATATTTATTAGTGTTTCAATTTTGGATTAACACTTATTTGGCTTTACATGAAAATTTGTCTTTCTGTACAACATGAAAAGACCTTTCCTTAAATAAATGCTCTTATATTATTTAGCTATGCTTTCCCTTAAAAATCTTGATAGCTTCAGGAAATCTCTTAATCCCATAAAGAGCAAGAGGGAAGAAGATAGAAGATGAATGCTTTACAAACTTAACCTTGAGTGAATCCAAGTCAGAAGAAAAAAAGTAGAATGTCTTAAAATTTTAATCCTACAATATGAATATTGAGAAGGACAATATTAACACTACATAAATTATAACCCAAAATCTTTCTAAACTAGGTTGGCAACCTGGTCATGAGTACCCAATAATCTCTTACATTTAGAGTTATGGTTACAGAAAGATTCTTAGTGGTATTCTAAGGCTCATATTATATATGTGGGAAAACTGAGATGAAGGAAGGCTGTGCAGTGTGCAGTTAATTGCTTGCTGCCTTCTCTTGGTATTAATGGAAATCCTTTGAAGTAAGAAAATTGTATATTTCCAGCCCTATTCTGTAGGTTAAAAAATTGAGATGCAGATGTGTTATTTCCATTAAATCATCTAGTTAATTGTCAGAAATCAGAGTATTCTATGATTGTCAAATTTTTTTAACTTTTCAAAAATATAGGGGAAATATTAAATAATACCTATATATGAAACTTAAGATTCTTGAAGATAATATGTATCAAAGTAACCTATAGTTATGAAATACAATAAAAAATATTGATTCTTGTGTCTCATTTCCTTTGGAGGTGGCTTAACGGGTGGATCTCTTTATATATAATTTATTTATGTTGTAAAATATTTCAGCCGCGACCTTGAATATACCGGGACAAAAAAAGGTCTTTGATGTTCTGAAATGCCTGGTGAATATTTATGTGGAATAGTACATGTAAAAGAAGAGAATGCCCTATTCATTTCATAATCAAAGTTTTGAATTTAAAATTAAAGTCATCCAACTGTTTGAAAAGAAAGAAATGCTTCCTCACTATTAACCATGATTTTAAAACCTCATTATCAATTAATGCAAAGTAACACTCTGGATATAATTTTAGTAATAGAAAATCTGAAATATAACATGAAATATAGCCTGTGCTGATTTTAGGAGTGCAACTAAATAAATAAATAGGTAATTCAAGCTTATTGGATCACCATCTTTGTGTAGTCATGCATCTGAGAAGCAAGCTATCAATATCGTCTCTCTGAGATGAGAGGACAAGCATGGCTTTTCCATTAGTCATATATTAAAACAGCCTTATAGTAATGCCCTAGATCATTTGACCCATCAATAAAGTATTAGAATTATATAGAAACTTGGAATGTTTTTATTAACAGCTATTATTTCAGAAATTTACTGGGCAATGTGACTCATATAAACAGTGTAGTACAGTGACGAGAAAGTGAATTGGCATTTGAAGACATTGAGATCATGCCAAACCTGCTGCTAATAGGCTTTGTGGCTTTTGTGAGGTCATATGATATCCCTGAACTCCAGTTTCTTCATCATAATGATGAGAAATACATTATTGAGCAAATGAATATAATAAAGGTTCCAGCAGAACTTCCAGCCCAGGTGCAACGAACATTTCAATGCAGGCATAATTAACAAGTTTGCTGACTTACAGCTCCTTCCCTTTCAAGATTCATGGCCAGAGCATCAGCACTCTTATCTACAAGGTTGGGCAGCCAACCAGCTGGTCTATCTCTCCAAGGCCATCCCCAAATGCCTACATCTTCCCCTCCCTTGTCTTGCCCCCTTTGTCTAGGGACTTCGCAGCAAATTGTTGTTCCTGCTGAAAAACAATGCTATCAATGGAACAGATATGGAGACCATTGTGTATAAAAGGAACCCCCGGTCTTTAAACTGGTGCTCAGACCTTACAGGGCTACCCAGGTCTGGGACCTCAGGCATAAGTAATAAAGCTTCTCCTGACCTCACGATTCCTGAAGTACCACTTGTTTTTCCTCTGCCTGGGTAAAAGGCTAGAATTTATTTCTACAACAATACTATGAGACCCATGAGCCAGACGATTTCTAAAATATCATATAGCATGAAAACATGGGCTATTCCAACTTAAATGAACTGGAATTAAATTCACCACTAAGAATTTGGCATACTATAATTGTAGTTTTTTTTTTTTATATACATTAAAAAAAGCATTAAAAGCTACCTATGGTTAATGTCAAAAGATTTTGTATTAAAAAAAGATTTTGTATTAAAAATATTTTCCTAGCTTTATTGATATAAATTAACATATACCATTATGTAAATTTAAATTGTAAACAAGATGATTGGCTATACATCTATATTGCAGAATGATTACAATAAGGTTAGTTAACACATCCATCACCTCACATAGTTACCAGTGTGTGTATATGTGTGTGTGTATGTGTGTATCTACTCTTAGCAACTTCCAAGTATGAGATATAGTACTATTAACTATAGTCTGCATGTTGTACATTAGACCCACAGAGTATATTATGCCCTTTAATCACCTTCACCCAGATATTTTTTTAAAAATCAGTGCTGAGAAATCCAATGCTTTTCTGTAAGTCATGAGTCTAATATGTATTCGATGCAGGTTGTGTACAGCATTAAAATATTTTAGAAGCATATCTAAATGTGTGACCTTTATAAAATACAAAAGGTGTAATAAAAGTGATGGAAATTTAATCATATCTTATTGCTAATATTTATATTATAGTTACTAAGAAATAGTTCAGCATATTTGTTTTTTTGTTTTTTTTAAGATTTATTTATTTATTTATACAAGCACTGGGTACAGTCAGAGGCTCAGGAGGGTGAGAGAATTCACCAGAGCCAGAGCTGAGCGTAGAACAGGCAGAGTGATGAAGTACACTTCTGAGGGGAGCAGCGGGTGGCAGGAGAGGTCTGCGCGCCATGTGGGACCCTCGCCCGGTGGCCGGGGATAGTGGCCGGGATCGAACCGGCACTGCAGCGGCTGCAGGCAGCTTCGCAACCTAGTGTTCAACCTCTGTGCCACCGGGGAGGCCCCAGCATATTTGTTTATGTGTGCAAGTATGTAAAGGAAAGACAGGGGTTGGGGGAAGGAAATAGTGAGGTAATTTTAAAAGCCTAAAAAAAAAAAAATTAAAAAAAAGTAAGAGCCTAGGATACACAATATAAGATAGTGTTTAAGATCACACGTTTAGAAATTGGATTTGAAGTTTTGTTTCCTGTGTCTGCCACCTCTAAGCTGAATGATTTTAGGTAAACAGTTTAACTTTTCTGAATTTCTTCATTTATAAAAATCAGATGAAAATAAACAATGCACACAACTGGTATAAAGATAAAATGAGGTAATATTTTTAGATTGCATAGAAGAGAATCTGGAACAGAATACGTGTATAATATGAAACAGTTCATTAAAATATTTTTAATATTAAGTTCAGATGCATATGGTTTTGCTTTTTTAATTCAATGAGCTTTAGGAAAATTATAAATTTATTTTAAATCCATTAAGTCAGAAAGGTCTCTAATTCAATTATAAATATCAATTTATTATATATGTGAAAGAACCATATATTCAATCTTTCATAAAAATATGAGTTAATAGTATCAATATTTTCCTGAGGTCTTTAAATGTATTACCATCTGCTTAAAATTAGATCCCCTTGAATTTTTTTAAATCACCTGGAAAATATATTCAAATTATATTTAATATTTTAAATTTTATTTATTTTTCAATATTTTCATAGAAGTTTTTTTACAAATATCAGATTTAGTTAACTGACATCTACTTTTAGATAAGACAGCCTCAAGAACATATTTGACAAATGTCTACCTCTAAATCTTACCACAATTTGCTATTTTATGGTGACTAGAATTTTAATTATTGGAGAAAATTATACAGATACTAAATTGCAGTAATATCTACTTAATAGGTTCTTATAAATATTAAATTAATTGACACATGCTAAGAACCTAAAATAGTGCTTGGTGCATAGTAATTAACATTAGTTAATGTTTTTGTATTAATAACATAAAGAAATAGCATAAGAAATCATTTGATAGAGGTATTCCAAAACAAATTTTAAAGTTAGTCAGCAATTACTGAGGTTATGAACATATTTATGCTCTATTTTCAAATCATTAAAAATAATTATGTGAATTTCTTGAGTTTTTTTTTTTTTTTTAAACTAAAAGTGATTTCATATGAACCCACTTCCCTCCCTTTCTACTGTATAAATAAAGCAACTGATAGCAAATGGATAAGGGTCTATCTTGGCTCCCTGGAGATAATACAGTGGCAGAACTGAAATGAGGATATATTATTTCTAGAATCAAATCATTAGGCGTAATTGCTTAAAAGATAAAAAAAATTAGGAAAAAACAGTCATATGCATTATTAATACCTCAATATGTTAAGACTAAAATGAGATTGAGAGAGTAAGGGAAGAAAAGATAGAAAAGATAATCTCTAAAATTAGGAAAAATTAAATAAGTTTTCCCCATAAGCTATAAATTCACCTTTAAAATAAAGAAAAAAAAAAAAGATTTAAAGAAAAGAGCAATTAGTTCAAAGGCACAAGTGAAGTATATTTTATTTGTTTATTTTCCAAGCAATCAAATCAGGTTCTGAAATAGCTTTTCCATTTTCTCCTTCTTACTGAAAACAAACATCACACATGTGATGTGAAGGGAATACTGAGAGAATAACTTCTCCAAGCAAAGTCTGCATTGCCCACAAAAGCACTTGAAAGGGGCACTTAATTTATTTTAAATTATATCAACTTTTGCTTATTAAAGTACTTGTTAAAATTGTGGTTAAATAATTTTTTAAATGTTCACATTCGGGCCTCCCCTGGTGGCGCAGTGGTTAAGCGCTGGGCTGCGAAGCTGCCCTCACGCAGCCTCTGCAGTGCGGTTCTATCCCCGACCGCGGCAAGGGTCCCACATAGCGCACAGACCTCTCCTGCCATGCCCACTGCTCCCCTCAGCAGTGTATTTTGTCAGTCTGCCTGTTCTGCTCCCCGCTCTGGCTCTGGTGAATTCTCTCACCCTCCTGTGCTTCTGAGTGTACCCAGTGCTTGTATAAATAAATGAATAAATCTTTAAAAAAAAAGTTCATATTAATAAGTCATGTATATTACTGTTCCGCTTTCCTTCCTTCTCCTCCCCCTCTCTCCCCACTCCTCTCTCTCTCTCTCTCTCTCTCTCTCTCTCTCTCTCGTTTTAGCATAAAATACTGGGGTATAGGCCAGATGTGTGTGTGTGGGGTGGGTTGGGGGTGGGGTAGGGGTGGGGGGCGGTAAGGGGATTCACCAGAGACAGAGTGGGGAGCAGAACAGGTGGATTTACTGAAAAACACTGCTAGGGGGAATAGCAGGAGAGACAGGAGAGGTCTGCTGTGCCATAATGAACTCAGGACATAACAGTGTAACAGTGATAGCACTGAGACTTAAGGCCACCAGGAAGGTCCATACTGGTAGCTCTTTAAATCATGTGAGTATGCAAATATTTAAGACTGGATTTAATTCTAAATTTCAGTTATATCTAAATTAAATAGAAGAGTTACAAACAAAAAATTCAATTTATACTGTTTCATATTTCCTCATATAGTTACCTCTACTGGTACACTTTTATTTATTTTCTTTGTTTCAATCAGTTAATATCCAGTTTCATTTCATTCATTTCATTATAGTCTGAAGGACTGCTTTCTAAAACATATTTGCTACTGGCAAAAGATCCATTTTTTTTTAACTTGAAAACTTTTTTTTTTAAGACCTATCCATTTTTGCATACAAGAACTGGGGTACAGGCCGGAGGAGTGAGAGTAAGAGGATTCACCAGAGACAGAGTGGGAACAGAACAGGCAGATTGACTGAAACACACTGCTGAGGGCAGCAGCGGGCAAGCCAGGAGAGGTCTGCTGCACCATGTGGGCAGCTCCCTGGCCAGGGATTGAACTCATGCTGCAGTGGCTGCGGATAGTTTCATAGGTTGCATCTTAACCCCTTGCACCTCCAGGGAGACCCCTTAACTTGAAAACTCTTAATCATCCCTTAGCATTTGCTACTGTTACGAAGATATAGCCATTTTTTTTTTTTTTGAATAAACACACTTTAGATTGCTGCAGGTATTTAGTTAATTTCCAAAGTTCTGAAAAGGTTGGTTTTAAAATCTGTTGATTCTGAGTTTTTCCAATTATTCTCATTGCTTTTATGGAGGAATGGGTTTTTGAAGGTCTTTATTCTATCATTCTAGTATTGGCCCTCTCAGGACCTAGAAGTTTAGTTCAGATTTCCTGAATCCAAATTTATAAATTCATGGTATTGTCTGAATACCTTTTTCCTTCACTACAATGAGGTTTATTTGGATAATTTCTATTTCCAAACAATGTCATACCAGATGTCCAACTATCTCAATATATTGTTAAAAACATTATGTTTGGGGATTCTAATTGCATTGACCACACGATAGCTGTCAATCAAGATTCAAAGACATAAAATTCACAATTTATACTTCAGAATGTTACTTTCACTTTCACTTTGTTTCTTTCAAAATTCTATTCTAAAGATGTCTCATTCTGCATATTTTTCTCTCACTTATTCCAAAACTGTGCTTTCTTATAGAGTTCCCTAAGACTTATTGAAAAAGGGAGTAAAATATTGGAGGAAGAGTCACAGAATGGTCTCCATGACATGCTTGCACAGACCAGGGGGCATTGATGTATTCTCACTAAGCTGTGACCCTAAAGGAGCTCTTAGGAAAGAAATCTGCCCAGTGGGTAGAGTATCTATTCATCAGTATCTCCTGTCTATTTTGCTTAAAAAACAGAGATGGCCTGAAGTGGAACATATATTGTTTTATGACAATGGATGGTGGAAGACTTAGAAGGCATATTAATTAGAGGGAGGTTTGTGGGAGGTCTATATAGACAGACCATTCACAGTGGGCACAGAATTTGATAGTTTTTGTCCATCATATATTCACACACAAAAATATACTGGCAATCCTTGCTAGTCTCCTGACCTACTGAATAACAATATATTTTTTGAAGTTAGGGTGTTAAATTCAGCAGATTTTTTCAACAGTTCTTTATGTACATGTTAATGTCATCAATAAAATGTGTACATATAAATG